CTGGTGAGTAAAAGCTTTTCCTTTTCCATTTGCTTCTCTTGTGTTGGGTTTTTTTTTTTTTTCCTTTTAAAACCTTAGCCCACCCAATACCCTTTGGCAGCTGCTGCTACCCAGTGGGGTCACTCTGATTTTCTAACCAGGGGACATGCTATTTGAGAGCTCTTCCTGTCAGCATTAATACCAGTGCTTCTTTATGGGCCAGCCAGCTGATCTGGCGGCTGTAGGGAGCAGAGGGGTCAGCACACATTCCTCAAAAGACCAAAGTCATTTTTGGCACTAAGAGCCTATAACTAGAACCTTCAGTTGAAAGGACCATTTTCAAGCAATAAAGTGATTTTGGTACAAAAGTAAACCGACTCACCCCAGGTAAAGTTTTAATATTGTGCAGTGCATTCTGGGCCTCAAGTGCAGCTTTTCTTGTATAAAATGTTACGAAACAACAACCTACAGAGAGAAATGAAAAGGTTTTAGAAATTTCTGTGAATGCTTTGCTTAGATATAACGGAGACTGTGGCGAACAAATAATCTACTTAAAAGGATGCACAATTTAAAAATAATAAAGTGTATGAGAACAGTAATAACAACATCTCAAGCTTTTACACAGTGCCTTTCATCCTAAATCATATTTATTAGCTTTACCCATGTTGGAGATCAATTCATAACTCTGTACCAACTATCTGGAATACAGCTATTCAGGAAGGAGGGTGGGAGGTGGTGGGAGGGTGAATGAGGTGTTAATGGGACTTGTGGCATATGTTTTAAATATGCCTGCGGCATTCCAACTGGCAGCCTTTTGACTCCCCACTTCCAAGAGCTGATGAGAGTCTAGGCTGAGTGCCCCTCCAAGGCAGACCAGCATATGCCCTCTTTCCAACCAACCCCTCCACCAAAGCGAATGGTGTTGCAGCCTCAGACCATTCCTTCTGCATCCTGAAGAATGGGTGACCCCTTCTTCAACTTGTTGAAAAATATTTAATCAGTATTTTTTTCTATCAGCTCACAGTTTCTCAGCACAACCAGGCTTAGAAAAAGGGCAAACAAAAACTTTAGAAATGTAAAGAAAAAAGATGCTGTCTTTAATCTGGGTTGTCTCTTGTAAGTTGGGTTGAGGAAAAAGTGCTGCAATGCACTCTCCAAGACTGTATTTTACTGCAACTTTACTAAAGACTCCTAACGCACGGAGCCAGAGAAGAGCTTTGAGAGGTACTCATATGCCAGGCACAGAGAGTAGCATGAGAGAAACGCGCAGCACTTAGGCATCAATATCAGTTCTACTTAGGGGAACGATGCAAATAAGATAAAGAGGAGAACAAAATGACACAGTTGCAGAGCAGTGTGCTGGCACTGCAAGCCATCAAAGGTTTAGAATCACACACTGGCATTCTGATTTCTCAAAATAAAAACTCATTCAAAGGAGTAGAGGAAAGTAAAGTACAATCCCACTCATACCCATTCCTAACGACATCTAAATACTTCTTCCTCATTTACAAAAGAAATTTGGAACCTTGTTGTCTTACACTTGATGGTAGTTGGAGTCTACCAAGATAAATATGCAAAACCTTCACCTTGCGGACAGAGTATGATCATAGCTCCATGACATTTAAAAAACTCCATGCATCCAAGGATCAGAAACTTTTCAAATATATCATTTGAATGAAGGTGGAAACTGAATATTTTGAAGTTTCTTTAAAGACTCATAGATGGTGCTATGGTTTGAATGTCCCCTCCAAAACTCATGATGAAATTTAATTGCCATTGTAACAGTGCTGAGAGGTGGGACCCTTAAGAGGTGATTAGGTCCTGAGAGCTCTGCCCTAATGAATGAATTAATGCCATTACTGAGGGAGTGGGCTCCTGATAAAAAGGATGATGTTGGCCCGATTTCCTCTGTCTCACATGTGCTTCCTTGCCATGTAATGCCTTCTGTCATGCTATTATGCAGTAAGAAGGCTTTTACCAGATGCAGCGCCTTGATCTCGGACTTCCCAGCCTCCAGAACCACATGCCAAATAAATTGTTCATTATAAATTACTCAGTCTGTGGTATTCTGTTATAGCAGCAGACAGACTAAGACAGATGGAGAGACTGGTCATTTTTAAATGAGCTTTTCACTCCAGCTCTTTTGACTTCTTTGATCAGAGTTCACTTGCCCATGCTGCTTAAAGGTAGACTTTGCACTAAATTAGCTTCATTGTTATAACATAAGCTCCAGAAAAGCTATGGGAATTCCTTCAAATCGAGGAATAATTGTAAATAGAAAAGTCCCAGCTTCTGGTAACCTATTGTAATCATTTTTTTTTTTTCCTTTTTTTTGTCTTTTTTACTGACCGGTAACGGGATCGCAACCCTCGGTGTCGCGCCCATACCGGGGACCGGCAACGGGATCACAACCCTCGGTGTTGCGCCCGCACCGCGCTCAACCAGTGAGCGGGAACCAGTCTCCACATAGGATCCAAACCCTCGGTGGGAGCGCCGCCACGCTCCCAGGCGGCGCACTCTCCAGTGCGCCACTGGGCTGGCCCTGTAATCATTTTTAGAAGAAGAAAAATACCAACCATGTTTCTGCAGTCTTGGTATAGAAAGAAAAACAGGAAATGCCTCCTAACTGCTTCCGACAGACAGACTCTCAGTAAATTCCACTGTCTCTGTTTCTGCAGTCTTGGTATAGAAAGAAAAACAGGAAATGCCTCCTAACTGCTTCCGACAGATAGACTCTCAGTAAATTCCACTGCGGGAACCAGTCTCCACATAGGATCCAAACCCTCGGTGGGAGCGCCGCCACGCTCCCAGGCGGCGCACTCTCCAGTGCGCCACTGGGCTGGCCCTGTAATCATTTTTAGAAGAAGAAAAATACCAACCATGTTTCTGCAGTCTTGGTATAGAAAGAAAAACAGGAAATGCCTCCTAACTGCTTCCGACAGACAGACTCTCAGTAAATTCCACTGTCTCTCTCCTTGGCTCATGGGATTTGCTTCCAGATAAGGAAGCAATGGGGAGGTTCTGAACTTCAACCTTGCCTAGTAATCAAAGTCTCAAAAAGTGGCAGAATTTGATAGTTTTAAGCAGGTAGCTTTTGGGGGTGAGATACGTTAGAAAGAAAGAAAGAAAAAAGACTTAAGGATGGAGCAGTTTGCTTGGCTGAAAAGTAGGAGTAAACTTGGGAGATGAGAAGCGAATGCCAGTTTGGGCATGCTCGGAGCCAAGAAAGAAAAGTTTAGATTGGGCTGAAAGAACAGCAGAATGATGGGGGAACTGAAAATGTGGTACTAAACACGATAAGACAAAATCAACAAAGAACAAAAATGATGTAAACTGAGGGAATAGTGTGCCTTCATATGTTGGGCCAACTTGAAGAGCACTGACCAACACACAGTGGTCTCATGAATAAAGCTCTCCTGCTTTAGACATCTAAACAAAATTCCTACCATTTCCCACTTCCTGAGAATCCACTGAGAAAGTGAAGTCCATTTGATATTTAGGTGTTAAAATGCTACCCTTGAGGAAGGGGATATTTAATTGTTCCTAGCTATTTACATCTTGGTGTAAATTTGACTACTTGAAGGCTTTTCCTCTTGAACAAAGTACTTCTTAGTGAATAGAAGGTGAGTGATTTTTGTTTGTTTTTGAGAAAGAAAGTTTGAAGGTGGTACCTGAGCAGTGTGAGATGGCAGGTGAAGAAGGGAAAGGAATGAAGAGAGGAGTCTAATGTACAGAACAGGACATGGGGACATACCTAAAATCTCAAACTCTTTCCAATTTCATCCAGGGTCCACTCTGCCTGTGCAACTGGTCTGGTGAAATCATGGACTTATCACCACAGATCCTCTTCACACTATGCACAGCTTTTAAATCTTTTACCATATAGCCATTTAAACAAAGACTTATAAGCTCTAGTTTAAGTGAACACATAGGAGAATATATTAGATAACATTGATGATATGCTTCCCTCACTGCTCATCTGCCCCGAACCCAATAGCTCTCATCTCCACAGGTGCCATGCTTGGCAAGCAAACTTGGAACCTTGGTGGGAATTCAAAAATGATGTCCCATCTCCAGGTGGACACAACTCCTTACTGCACAGCCCATGGCTTAGTGAGCAGAACTCAGGCTGGATTTCTATCCCTATTCCCAGTCTCAGCTGAGTACCATCCTGCAATGAACAACTTGTACAAGTGTGGGGGGCCTGGGACAGACTGGGGATATTACCCGAAGAATCTTCCTTTGGTTGTATACATTTGGTTCCTGAATGACTTAGGGGAACGTATCTTATGTTCTCTGTACCTTAGTTACTTTAGTTTCATTACCTCTAAATCAGTGAAAACCAAGTCTGCCCAAACCCCCACCCCAACTCCCCCCCAAAATTATGTGTACATATAGCCAAAGTATTCAATTCAGAATAAGAGAGTCAAAATTACTCTTTACCTTTATTGGGCTAAAAAAGTTTTACGCTATATTCAGCATGCATAATGATTCACTTAATAAAAAGTGTTTGTTAAATTACCTTAAAATTTGCAGTATAAATACCTCCAAATTTAAATGGTCACCTTAGATGCAGCAATTAGTGTTTTTGCCTCAGTGGGACTTCAGCTTGTACATTTCCAGAAATCAGACTGTTTCACAGATTGTTGTTTTTGTGAATAGTCTCCCAGCTAACAACCATAGTCTTTTGTTTTTATCACTCTATCATATCACTTAATATGCTCACTTAAACTGTGAGATTCATTGACCTGCAGATAACATTTCAATGAAGGAAGGGAGAAATATTATTATTTGCCCTAAAATGGTAACTATTATGACAAGGTCAGAGAGCTACTACAGATCCCAGAAAATCCATGAAGGCTCAACACAGATGAAATTTTCTTTCTTGCTGGCCTTCTCTGAATGTACACCTGTTAAGGGAATCACCTGTCTCTTAGATTTTCCCACACCAGCTGTAACTCAGGTCTGAAATGTACTGGATTCATTTCCAGGTCAGCTGCAACACCAGATGGCTCAGCAATTGGATTTAGAGGACAGCCTCCCTCCTTCTGCAGGTTCTGTTGCAAACGTCAGTGTAAGGTGGGTAGTTAAACATCTCTAATATCCACAGATGCTCTTCAGTGGTCAGTGGTTACAACAGGTGCCAGAGGGGATAGCCCCTCAGGCTTCAGCCTTTGTTCCTGGAAGCCCCCTCTCCCTACTGTCCATGGAGTGGACATAAAGGACCTGCTCAATGTCAAAGAAGACAAGAGACCAACCAAGGGGCTCAGGATCAGCAGAGGCTGATGCAGTCGGATGAGTCAGGAGCTTTAACAAATCTCAACTTGCTGCTTTGGCACACTGCTGGTAATCTGTGCTGCTTCACATTTTTCTGCTTTGCTCATTTGACATTGTCTAATAAGCACTTACACTTTACAATTTGTGCTACCTTTATCACTCATTCAGGAGTTTCTGTCAGTGGCAGC